ATTGTAGGATCCAGAACCGTTATCTCTGCGCCCTAAATTCCCTGCCTCTTCAGAATGAGATAGGTTGGTCGCAGCATTTGCCAGAGAATCCAGTCCGCTAGACTGGCACGAACTCGGGGAATCCCTTGTTTGGAATTGAGGCAGGTTCCCATCGGTGCCATAGAGGGCTGTTGAATCTGGATAGTCCATTTCAGGGGGATGAAGGTTAGGTGCCGATGAGTTTTCAGAATCTTGCATTTCACTGCGTTTTCTGGCGGAGCTTCTCCCAGAGGATACCGGTCCAATTTCTTTAATGATACAGCGTTGTGAAACCAAACGACGGCGTCTGGCTGCGTAGGAAGACGAGCGGGATTGGGGGCTTTCGGGGCAACGTCGTTTATTTTGCCTGCGTCCTACATGATGTGTGAGTAAAGAGCATCCCCTTTGAACAGTCGGTCCTCACCATTGTATGTTGACTGGCTCAACTCAACCCAACATGAAGCTTTTTTGAGGGTATCAAGTATGTTTGCTTGATCTTTGAGAAGGGAAGAAAAGTTATGAATATCTAGATAAGTCAGAGCATCAAAGGATCCATACGCAAAGGATATTGCTATCTCTATTCCAGACGTGTTACACACATTCTCAACTGCCAGTTGTTTAGTTCCACGCTTGAGCGCGATGTAAGCAGTTTCGGTGTCAATGAACCGGGCCACACGTTCCACGTAATGCCTAAAGTTCCCATTCTTATTCCTGGCTGATGACGGTATTCTGGACACATTATCTAGCCGTGTGCTTCCTGCTTGTTGCAGATTGCTTTCCCATTGATGGAAATCAAGTGCTAAGGATCGCTGGGCAAGGCACTGGATGAATCTTTCCTTGGGCTCTGGTGTGTGCTTTCCGGTAATGCTTTTTATATGGCCAAGGCGACAGTCCTCGCTCCGTAGATTCTCAAAGAACCCTTCGACTATGTTGTGTGGACTGTGTTTCGAAAATTGGCAGATATCGTTGAGTTTTTCTTTTATCTTTTGTAAAAGACGCTGAGCCCGAGGCGAGGGAGAGGAATTGGAATTGGAAGAACATGTCTTTGAAAGTACAACACCCGCCGTAGGTTGCGTCTCATCTTCGGGAACTGAATTTTCCTCTTCAGAAATGGAATTTGGAGCACTGGGTTGCTGAACTGATCCAGGGACTACGGAAACGGAACGGATCAAACCCTCTTCATAAGCATTGTCTCGAGTGCCAGTGGTTTGCGGAAGCAATTCGTTGTTGATAGGAGTAGGAGAAGAGTGGAAGGAGCGAGTAGCGGTGTGCACCTGCTGATATGATGCACTGGAGGAGCGTCGAATAACTGTTACTCCAACTCGTTCTGCAATTGTCTCGAGAGCAAGAATTACATCCATGCGATGGACCCTTAGCAAGTCTGGAGATACTCGCAGTAAGGCTTTCAAAATTGACGGTATTCCCGATTCAACTGTCATCTTGGGCTGTTGAACTCAAGGAAAGGAGAAGAACAGAGCTCCGGCAAGAATTTGACGAGGCGAAATGAGCCAGATGAGATCAGCGGCAACAACGCGTATTGTTTTATTGGTAGTTAGTTCGTTGGTGAGCCCGCCAACGAAATCTTGTTTTATTGGTAGTTCACTGGCCAGCCCGCCAACACGGAGCAGCCAGCGAACGGCGGGACAAATAGGCTTACGATTGGTCTGTATCCGGAGGCTAAATTTCCAAAAGCACAGGATCGTTGTTTTGTGGCTCTCCGAAGCTGACTTGCCTCAGCAGGTCGTTTCCCGCCCCGTACACCAACGGTCCAGACTGTCGATCGAAATGATAGTTGTACTTGCATTATTTTCCTCAGTGGAATAAATTTTGGTAGCACTGACGGTCTAGTGGACTCGGATATTGTTGTTGGGCACTAGTTGCCCAGGCGGCCCTCCACCGCACGTGATTACCCCTATATATAGTTAGCTAGCGATCGCACAATGAGAAGATCAACCATCCCACAGGTTATGGCCCGGATTGCAGATTTTTAAGAAAAACAGACGTTTTGATTAGAATACGCTGCGACTGATGTTATATTGGATGAGTTAAACATTATTCCCCTGAAAAGAGAGCTCTTTGCCTATAAAAGTGGTGTAATTGACGGAATTGCTGTCGAGACTGCTGCAGAGATTTCATTACTATCTTGAAGGGATCAAAAACTTATTTATTTATTTTCATTCAGAACCTCCCTAAGTCAGATTGATTATGAGTGGTTCTCGATTACCTGCGACCCCAATATCAGGACGTAAGAAGACACTACGTTCGCAATCAAGGGTCCCCCAATCCTTCCCCCCTATTACTGAGCAAGAATCCGGCTCAGAAGCGGAGGGTGATCAAACTGAATACGCGATGGCAGAGGAAGATATGACAACCTCTGGCTCAGCACACGATACTGGCAAGATGCCAGAACGCGAGGAATCCGAGGATGGCACGCCCAGTCCTATGCCGATACCTACGCCGAATCCTAACGGCATGGTGACCATGGCAGCAGCAGATCTCATTGCACTCTGCGAGCGACTGATATCAGCACGCGCGCGGCCACCTCCTCCACCTCCTCCACCACCTCCACCTCCTCCGAACCCTATACCAGAAGAAGATCCGAACATGCTGGCTCGCGAATACCAGAAGGAAGCGCAGGCCTCGTTGAACACAAAGTCCGTCACCACGTTCGATGGCACCAACTACCAGACGTGGAAGATGGCGTTCTTGTCGGATGCAGAAGTGATCGGTGGTGCAGATATTCTTAATAAGAACCAACAGGAACCACCTGAAGGTTTATCATCGCTCGATCAGCGATATTGGGTGATACGTTCAAAACTTCTCTTCCGTCGCATGTTGCAATCCCTAGTAGGTTCTGTCCGTTTGACCATGGGATCCATTCAACCCGACAACGCGGCGGCCCTATGGAACAAGGTAAGCGCAGTATACGCGATATCCCTAGGGAAGAAAGGATTAACATCCTTAAAGAATTTACCCACTTGCATGTCAAGGACGGTGATTACCTGGCGTACGTACGCCGATATCAATACCTGTCTGCTCGCATGCGACAACTAACGGAGGACCGTGGTGAGAACTACCTCCATGATTTCTTTATTATCGGCCTCCGAGATTATCAGAGGACCTATGTTAAATCACGCCTCGACACGTTCTACGGGACGGGTCAGGGTCCGATTGTCAACCTAGATATCAACGATCTCACAAAACAAATTGCTCACCGGATGAGTAAATCAGAGGGTACTGGACGCCCTAAAGCTCCAAAGGCCAACGCGGCCACCAATGATAATGACAACACAACTTCCGCCGCAACCGCAAAGTGCGGATACTGCAAGGTCCCAGGGCATATAAAGGCTAATTGCTATCATCTGAACCCTGACAAAGCGCCCGAGTGGTGGAGGAAAGAGAATAAGGATAATAAGGGCACTGACAACACTGAAGGTGCCAAAAAGAAGGGAAAGGATAAGAAGAAGGACAAGGATGACGACAAACCTACTGGCACCAGAGCGTCAGATCTCCTTGCATCGCAACCTAATGCCAACGCAGCAATTGCTTTATCTACGTCGTCCGCTACAACATCCAAACCTTGGTATCTCGACACCTGCGCAAGCTTCAATATGACGGGTGAAAGGCACTCGTTGGTGCGCGCAAAGTCGTTCGAAGGTGATTTAGAAATTACTACCGCGGACGGTGGCGTAGGACGGGTTGAGGAGATAGGTGATATCCTTCTAGAATCAGAAGGGGGGGATATCTCAGTGGGTTACGTCCACTGGATCCCCAATCTAACAGTCAACCTTCTATCCTTTGCGAAGCTAGAAGATCAAGGCTTCAGATACCAACTATCAGATACCACCCCTTCCTATTTTACAATAAGGGCCCCGAACGGTGCCAACTTCACCGCTGTTCGCACGTCCAAAGAATCGGTCTACAAGATAATAGAACGAGAATCTCAAATAGACGTCCATCACCCGTCCCAGGCCGTCCATTTTATGGCCAAATCTTACAATTACGGGGACGCAATGTCGACAATCGCGGGGAAACCTAACGATCAACCTAGCGATCGCAACCCCCTGACAAGAACACTCATGGAATGGCACGTCACACTAGGGCATATCCACGCTGGCGCGATCATTGCACTAGCGAAGGACCCATCATCCGGCATCCGCATCAAAGGATCTAAAACAGGCTTCTTCTGCGATAGCTGCGTCAAAGCAGGCATGACACGCAAGTTCTCGCAAACTCCCATGCCACGAGCGTTGCGAGCAATGCAACGTGTTCATATCGACCTTGCTGGCGGTGGTCGTACGCTGGATGATATGTCCGATTACCCTATCGAATCTCGTCAAGGGACCAAATATTATATGCTCATCACCGATGACGCCACCCGCTACAGGTGGATCTATTTTTTACATACCAAGGACCAAGCTGTCGAAATTTACGCTCACTGGGTCCAATTCATGAAAAATCTCGGCTTCACGCCACCGGCGCTAGTTAGGACTGATATCGATGGTGTCTGTTCGATCTAACAAGATGACAACAATGATGACCAAAGATGGCACTATCTGGGAACCTACTACGCCCCCAATCTCCCCCACCAAGATGGTGTTTCTGAGAGAGAATCCGTACGATAATGACACGCGCAAGGGCAGTGCTTTTAGGCATGAATATACCGAAGAAGTTCTGGGCAGACGTTCTCGAAACGGTGGTTGCAATTACCAACAACACACCAACATCTACCACCCTGTATAATGAGAAATACTGGCCTACCAACAACGCCGACGAAGCACCTTCGCGATGCCCCTATACGGTCCCATTCTCAGCACTAACCAACGCCCCGCCCCAACTTCGCCATTTTAGGGAGCTAGGTGTTGATGTTTACGCGCACCTTCATGGATCTCAAAAACCTACTGACAAGCTGTCCGCTAGGGCAGAAATTTTTAAACTTATAGGATTCCGTGGTAACTCAATCTACCGCCTCTGGAGTCCTACAACTGATAAAATAATTGTCACCAGTGATGTCGTTTTCCCTGCAAAGGAACCTACAACCTCGCAGGATGACACTAACCACACGACACCCGAACCTGCAAGTCCAGCGACTTATCTTGTTGATGATACTACCGTTCCTGAATTAGCTGACGCCGAATGGGTAAGACCAGCGAAAGCGTTCGCCACCTACGTTCCTTCTCCCCTCACCGGTTCCGTTCCGAAAGGATATAAGGATGCCGTTAGTAGACCTGGGGGGGTTGGCGAATATTGGCAGAAATCGATGGAACGCGAGATTGCAGATTTGGAACGAAGGAACACTTGGACAATGATCCCACGTTCTGACGTCCCTTCTGGTGAGCCAGTGGCCCCCGGCCGCTGGGTTTATGTCGAAAAAGATCGCCCCCAGGATCCCAACGCGGATCCTGATGGTATATTACGAAAATCTCGATGGGTAGTGTGCGGTAATTGGTTAAAGAAAAGCGCACGCGAAGAAACATACGCGCCCGTCGTTAATGACGCTACTAATCGCATGATGTTCGCGATAGCAGCGAAGCGAGGTTGGACCTTGCGCCAGGTCGATATAGTGATGGCCTACCTACACGGCCGACTTGGTAAAACGATTTATATGCGGCAACCTACCGGATTTGAGGTGGGGACTCCACACGCGATGGTTTGCGCTGTCGGAGGCTCCCTATACGGATTGGACCCTGCTGCTAAGATTTGGTACGATTTCCTTACGGCATTACTCCGCGAGAATGGCTTCAAACCTAGCCCCTACGACCCTGCTCTATGGCGCCACACGTCCCGCAATCACCTTTATATGACAATCTACGTGGACGACCTTCATATTATAGCAGAGGATCCGGCAGATGCCGATTGGCTAGTTGACACCCTCGCCAATAAATTAGAAATAAAGGATTTAAAAGAACCTTCAAAATACTTAGGCATGGAGGTTGAACGTCGCCCTGATGGTGCTATAAAATTGACATTGAGACGCTATATCGATCGTTTAGTGCAAGATTTCCGCCTAGATGACGCCGTCCCTGTCCCTACACCAATACTTGAAGGGTTGAAGATAGACGATACCCCTGTGTCAGAACGAGAAGGAGGGTTCACCAAAAAGCGATACCAACACGGAGTAGGGTGCTTGCAGTATCTGGCAGTCAAATTACGCCCAGATATCGCGCGAGCAGCATCCCTACTAGCGCAGAAGAATACTGCGCCTACACCTAAGGCGTGGAGGGCTCTCCTCCGCGTCATACAATATCTAAAAGGAACGAGCGACCTTGGCATCTTATACGAAGGCCCCAAGAACGAGATCGATGAATTCCCCAACGCGTCATATCTGCCGATAGGTTATACAGATTCGGATTGGGCAGGACCGTTGAACGGCGAACGCAAATCTACTTCAGGCTTCATATTCAAGTTAGCAGGTGCACCAATTTCATGGCGTTCGTCCAAACAACCTTGTGTTTCTTTAAGTTCAAATGAGGCAGAATACGTGGCACTTAGCGAAGCAGTACGCGAAGCAACGTGGTTGCGCAATATGATGATGGAACTAGGATTCGTTACAGCAAAGGACCCCTTGCCTATCAGGGCAGATAACAAAGGTTCAATCGACCTAGCTACCGTTGCCGCGATCACGGCACGCAGCAAGCATATCGACACTCGCTTCCACTATTCTCGCACGCAATTGAACGAAGGCGTTATTTCTATTAAACACGTTCCCACTGAGGATATGGTAGCAGACGGATTAACCAAACCTCTGGGCACAGTGGCATTTAGGCGTTTCATTGATTTACTAGGACTTTTCGCTGGTAACAGTGAGAATGATTAAATTTCTGTATGTAGCATGATTTTGGGATGATCCAAGTTGAGATAGCTAGCATGG